TATATATATATATATATATATATATATATATATATATATATATATATAAATTGTATTATATATTATATAATATATTATATTATAATTATATAATATATTATATAAGATTTATTACTATTTTTAGTAGTATTTTTATAGTAATGTACATACAGGATGTTCATTATATTCACTATTTTTTACCAGTTACAATCATCGGGCAAATGAAAAAGTTCCATGCAATTTATTAGTTTTTAAATTGCAAAGCATACAATAATAAAAATATCGAAAACTTTTGTTTTTGTAAAGAATCAAAATTATTTCCACTTTTCCAAATGAGCTATGTCTTTTTTATCCGTAGTAAAAGATCAAAACGAATTCAATAGTAACTTTCTCTCATAATTTTATTTTTACTTAATTCAATAGTACGAATTTAATAGTAACTCTCTCTCTCATAATTTTATTTTTAACAGTGCTACGTTACACATTACATAACGTGATACATTAACATGATACAGAAGATACAATAATGTTTCTTTTACAAATGAATAAGGTTAAGTGTTCAGGATATGTTTTGAAAGTAATCCATTTTCTGCAACACAAAGCTCCGCCAAAATAATAAAGTTTTATTTGTCGCATCAATTGGGAGATGTATTTTTTTGCATGCTTGTATTATATATTACTGAAATTCCTTATTATTATTTTACTGCGCTCTTTCTTGCTATAAAAGATAACATTATGAGTTACTATTGAATTCATTTTGATTTTCTTCATAACTACTACGAATAAAAAAGATATAGTTCTATTTAAAAAAAAGTGTAGCTGATCTTGACTCTTTTACAAAAAAAAACAATGTTTTCAAAAATTCTACTGTTTTATTACCGTTTAAAAACTGGTTAATTGCACTTAAAACTTTTTCCCGTTTGATCATTATAACTAAAAAAAATATATAGTGAATAAACATGCACACTCTATGTATATGTTATTAAATATTATTGTAAATACTACTTGTATAAATTATTATCACATTTCCGAATCAAACATTGATTTCAACAGGAAACGGATATTAAAATATGTTGTGCATGAAATGTTAACATGAACACAAGTTACACGACATTGTCAGTTGCAAAGCAACTGGAATTTTGTAAGTCGGCTGGAGAAAAAGCCTCAAAGATAACTCGGGCTGCAACGGATCGGAAGAAAATCTCGATACAGTATAGTATTACACGATACGAGGTAGTACATACCAGATTTCATTCGGACAGAATAAAAATCCGTTGTGAAATGCTGCGGGACACGCTATACATGTATTTGCATAGTGTAATAATAATTCTGTACTTTGAAAGAGAAAAGACCCTGACATATGTGAAACTATTTTAAGATTTGAAAGTTCTCCAACCTTGGAGATTTCGTTCTTCGATTATTAAAATATCAATTCTCGTTCTGATCAATCTCGAGACAATTATTCATGTTTGTTTGTTTCAACTAATTTTCACTTAACAGATCTTATTTCTGTTTAAATTCTAGGCTTTATAATACCACCTTTTGTTTATCTTTCTTTCTTTCTATCATCTGTCTTTCATTATTTATACTATTTGCACTCAAAAAATCACTATTATTATCATAATCAAAGAATAAACATCGAACTTTCTCTCCCAGGAAAGCGCAGAATTACTCAACGCAAATCGAAGAACGTGCACGAGGTTACTTGTGCTATATTATTAATCTGTCCAACACATCCGCGCGCGTTAGTCTCATAAAATATTAAGAGACAACTCAAGCTAAGGAAAATCCCAGTACGTCTTCTAGCGAGTAGTCGAACAACCGTAAATCTAATCTGTACAAATCCGCCAGCTTACGAAGCTGCTTATAGCTCAGATTGGAATAATATCTATCCAATTTTCTCGATGTCGGCTCGCTGCTTGGCGGTCTAGCCGGGAAACTGGAAGACACACAAAATTTGTGTTTTAATGCTACATGAAGCGTTTCTCTAATTTATTGCCCGCCAATTATCGCGCCGTCTTTGATTAGGGTAACCAACCGAATTTTGCGGGACATCGCGATTTACGGCTCTCTATATAGAGGCGTTCTGAATTCAGGCGGGACATTATTTGTCTCGTTTTATCACATAAAGTAAAATAAATAATATACAATTTTATTATTATATATTACTTGTGTGATAAGAAAAAAGTGCATTCTATGTTGATTTTTCATTACTTCTGTGTTCCGATGATGATTGTTCCTTTGATTTTATTTCAAGAATTTTATCAGTCTAGTTTTAGATACTGATGATTTATATCAAGAAATAGTAAAAGACTATATTCGATCGATTGTTTGATGTGCGTTGATTTAATAGTAAATAAACATTTTAGTTACCAACTTATATGTATCTAATTTATTTCAAAAATTATTAATTAATGTCAAAATATATCTATATTATATATGTATAATTGTATATGTTTTACAAGAAACAATGTGTGCATAAATTCATGATGTAAATATATCAGGTGTAACATTACGCATAATAGTAGTCGAATAGTGAAACAACCGATTAAATTTTTGTTCAAAAAACTACGCGACATTCCAATGCAAAATTAATGAAAATCCATAGTAAAAATACAAAACAAAATTTAAAAATGTATAAAAATATAACATAAAACTTTATAAATTAATAAAAATATATAATATAAAATAAAAATGATGATAATAGTCATTTTCTGATTCTACTAAATACTTGGATGATTAACATAACCAAACCTATCGTACATCATGGAAGAAGACATGTTGCCTTTCCAAATTTAGGACAAATCTTTAATTGGTCAAATAAACAACCGCCATGTTGGACGACTGTGCATCTTCGGGAAAGATATATCTTGTACTCTTGCATCATATATAAATTAATAATACTATAAGATATTTTGTAACCAATAAAAAATCCTGATATTTTAAGTTCGATATCCGGAAATTGGTTGATTAACCCGTATTGTGCACTGTGGTGTCAAAAAGACCCCAGAAAAAATAAATAAAATAAATCTACAAAATAAAGTAAAAAATAAAATAAAATATAATAAAATAAATCTATATATTTTGGAAGAACTGTTTGCTTTTTTTCACAAAAATCCTAATTTCGATATTCAAAAGAAATACTTTTTTTTAAATCCTGCTTTGTACTAATTTTTTTCTTAAAAAGAAATTATGTCTTATTTTTTAAAATTTTACCTTGAAATATCAAAAATTGTGTCAGTTATGATTTTTGGAGCAAATCAAATCATTTTTCGCGTTTTTCGCGCTTTCCAATTGTTTTTCTTCATTTAAAATCAAATTTCGTCTAGAAAAATTATTCCGTCGTATAAAAAGATGTTTGAAATATATCCTGGAATTTTTCAAATAAAAAAGCGAGTAATTTCATTGCAGCAAACATTTTTGTAGCTGGGGTCGCGCAAAGACCACAATGTGCCCATTATGTGATCCTACTGAAGTGTGCACAATAAGAATTAAGAGTTAGTCATTCTCTATCCTCAACACTCACCTCACAGACGTGACGCCTATCCGCTCGAGGACCTCTGTAGCATCCTCCACCAGACTCTCATACTTGCTCACAAGATTGTAATTAACTGTACAAGGTTGGCAAAGCTCGTATATCGGCCTCCAGTGCTCGTTCCGGGTGCCGTTTTCGGAATTGTCGGTGATGAAATTGACGAATTCGCGAAACGTCACATCGTCGCCGTTCTTTAAGGATTCCTCGGTCGCATTCGATCTGTATTTCTGAGAACGGAAATACCTCCCAGTTAAACGTTTTCTAAATGACGTGACACATAATCACGTAGACGCGAATCTAATAAAGCAATCTCAATGACCATCATATTACCTATAACTGAAATGTTCCTTGTATTTCGCCACAGCCATGTTGAATTTGTGACGTCAGAAGCGAGAACGACATATATTGACAAAAGTTGTGTACCATTTCTAAATAAAGATAAATATGGACAAAAAAGCGCTTGCAAATTTATAAAATTGTCCAAAAGATATCTCTTTTCCTTGACAATTAATAAATAATCGTATAATAAGTGGTAAAATGAAGCATACAGACAAAATACATGTCTTATTTATTATACGACTATTTATTGATCATCAAGGGAAAGGAATACCTTACGGACAATTTTACAAGTGCTTAAGCAATCTTAAATACTCTTTCATCCATATTTATCTTTACTCAGAAATGGCGCAACTTTCGTCAGCATGTCATTTCTCACTTCTAATGTCACAAATCCATAGCCTGCGAAGTACAAGAAGCCTTAGAGGAATACTATACTTGAAAACTTTATCGACAAAATACTAACTTTTTCTGCAAAGTAGTATGTTGGTTGTATAAAATTACAAATGCTTTTTCACAATGAAAGTATGTGCAAGAATTAATCAAAGCATTGCTCAATATGCGATAAAAGAGAACGATAAAAATTTCAAAATTGACATCTCGAGCTGTCCAGGAAAATTGCAAAGATCATTGCTATATTTTTATAATTTTATTTAAGTATATACGAAAAGTTTGCAAAAAGATTTCTACAATGGTTAGGTATTTCTTTAAATATCATAAAACAAGCACAAGCCTACATTTATGTAAGATCTATATATACAAGAAAATACGAAAAGGATAATATGATTATGATTGTTATAGTGATAATCGCTTCTACGTTATCGATATTTTTGGAGTTTATCATCCATTTCAGCATCCCCTTAAGGACGTGAAAGAAACAATAGATTATATATATAACTCTGATCAATAAATGGCATAAAAATTTCAGATCAATCAAAATATACCCTTATAGAAATATCATACTAAGAATCATTGATAATTACTTATTATCCAGTATTTTTAATACTGAAAATAAGTAATTATCAATGATTCTTAGTATGATATTTCTATAAGGGTATAATGTAATCAAAACGATTCTAACCTTGACGATTTTTTTGCCGAAACGGCTTTGGAAGTATTTCGCGCTTTTTTCGTTTTTGGCCTCCAATTTGTTTCGATAGGCCGACAAAAGCCTCTCCAAAGGATGTCGCACGACGATCAGTTTATCGTACGTCGCCAATTTCTTCTCTATTTCAGGCAGTGTGTAATTGCTCAATCTCTGAAAGGTAGTCGGTGAATGAGCCAGGTCGGCCGGTATTTCTAAAGGATCATTACCGGCCCATTTTCCCATTGCGATCATCAACACGCGCTTCCAATTCGTACAAGCCACCTGAAAGATGAGATTCGCTTCAGTTTAGAACGCATTGCTTCATCTCGAAAAAAGCCGGAATTGATTGCCAAGTTGAACACATTTTGTACTTGATGACGACTCAAAAATATGAACTGATCTTAAATTCAAACGATATTTTATTTGAACAAACATTACATTTGTATAAACCATTATTCATACAGTTAACGTGAATAATAAATGTCAATATATTTAATATTTTTATATTAATATATATATTATATGAATGATACATTTTTTGTGAACTTAGATGACATGCAAATGGGTGTCCTAAATTAATAATACGTGAGTTTGGAATGATTTTAACGTACTTAATTAAGTATAAGGGATCAGATAGGGGAAATTATGTAAGAATAAATGTATAAATAGTATATAAATAAAAGTAAAACAAGGCATTAGATAGGAAATCAGAACGGAAAAAGTGCATAGGCAATAGAGATTATGACATCATAAGAAAAGGGTAATTAGGATAATGTAAGTAATACAAGCAAGTTTAAATTAATATGGTAATGCAGAGAAAATTATCAACAGAAGAAATGTATAATAGGTTATAATAGAAGACAGAAATACACGAAGGATGGAGTAAAAAAGAAATACAAAAAAAAATTAAAAGAAAAAATTTAGTTATTCAATGAGATAAAAAAGCATAATAAAGATATACGGAAGAAAAAGACAAGGACTGATGAGACAAGTGCTATGCAAGTAAGAAAATGAAGTGCAAAGAATAAGAGGAAAGATTATAGGATATGAAAAACTCCTTCTTGGTAATATAAGCTGAAGAAGACATACAGGAAATGAAGAAAAAAGAAATCACTTCATGAAGTTAATAAGAAGTATAAAGTAGAGTAATGAAACTATAGAAAAAATAGAATTCTATATAAAGATATAGAAGAAAATTAAGGAAAAAATATGAAGAGAAAAAGAATAGCAGAGAAAAGATTAGATAAGAAGAGGAAAGCTAAAGAAATAAATATGAAAGAAAGCTGAAAGAAAGAACAAAATTTGGAATATTGTATATAAGAACGATAGGTGGATTAGAAATATATTCGAGTGGATTTATTCATGTGTTTTAATGATTAAATGTTTTTTTTATAATTCCAATAATTATGAAATTGTATCTTGCCACAAGATTCATTTTTGATCGATTGACATTGTTGAAAATTGTTGTAGATAGTCTCGAAGGCGTTTTAATAATTTTCATAATTATAAAATTTGATCCTGTCACAAAATCTAATCTTAATCATTGTTGAAAGCTGTTATAAATAATCTCGGAGACGTTTAAGTAATTTTGACAATTACGAAATATTATCCTATTACAGAGTTCAATTTTGATCGATTGGCATTGTAATCTCAGAGACGAGGCGACAAAAAGTCTGGCACCTTTGGCACATAGCAGTAAAGCAATTCGTGCGAGTCGTCCACGAGAATATTCCTGAACGATTCTGGAGTTAACGCGCCAATATCGGCGTCTTTGCTTTCCAGCTCGCAATTATACTGCAATCTCTCCTGTCGCTCCACCAAGGCCGACCTGGCCAAGGCGTTCGGCCCTGTCCACGAATAGATGTATTTGTTCGACTCCAACGACTTCTTGTCATTTAATGGGATTAACGCGGCGTTCGCGTCCGCGCCGTTTGCGGCCGCTTTCCATATTACGACGATCGGTAAAATTATCCGCCACGCTTGACATCCTGTCATCGTTTGTCCACCGCGAGCATTGAACCACCTCCCTGCGGAATGTCGCCTGGACCGTACGAGCGATCGATTCTGCAAGAAGAAACGGAAAAGAAGAAAAATACAGCGTGTTGCGCGACACACTTCGCGAAATCTGTAATTCGCCGGTAGCGTTATTTCGAAATCAAACACTAAAGCTAAAGCACACTCGCTCCCTCCCTTCCTCTCTTTTTCTGCGTGCCATTTTTGATCAGACAAACATATATCCCCATACACTGAGAGAAAAAATGCCTAATAGTAAATATTTATTTAGACATATTTATACTAATATAATATTTTTTATAAATAAGAGAACATACATTTTCTTAAAACTTTAAGAAAACTTTAGTTTCTCATAAAAAAGCAATTATTTATTATATTTAAGATTCTTAGAACCGTAAACATAAAAAATTACGTAAACTCTAAATATGGCTAACTTTTGTCCAGGGCGTTTTTATTTACTCATAATTTTTATAAAAATTATCAGAATTCAATACTTTTTTGTTTTTAATCGGCGTAGAAAACATTGAGGAATATGAGTTTATTAATGTTACTGCGATTGAATGAAGTTGAAAAAAGTTCTGGGTAAATTTTATCCATATTTAGGATTCTAGAGGATTAAACTTGCTAAGTTTAATTGTTAATTGAACAAGCTTTGATTACTTTCGCTCATTGATTACATTAAGCATCAATTAAATGGTCCTTAAAATTAAATTCATTGAAACTAATCATTAATTAAACGGCCTTTGATTGAATTTATCGTAATCAATTGTTAATTGAACGATCTGCAATTAAATTGGCTCATATTAATTGTTAATTAAACACGATAATTAATTGAAGAAGTAATTAATTATTCGCGATTCTGTATAAATTTATGAAGAATACTTGAAACAAGTAACGTTTACTTAAATGTAGCACGTCCCAAACAACATAGCTCTCCACAAGATATCCTCTAAAAACCTCCTGATAACGTCCTTTTATCCTGAGAACGTCCCCAGGTATCCTTTGGAGATTTTGTGTTGTTTGAAGTGTGTTATGCATACGGATTTACATACAAAGAGAACATTTAACAACAATTTTTCCTGGAACGAATTCTCGACGAAGTGTTAAAATTTCGTCAAATTCCACGCGAATAAACAAAGTGCGCGCGCGCGCGTAAAAGTGGACGTTTACCAAGCTCATTAGCAGCAAATGCACCGTAGATGGTCGCAGGCTGTCCGCGCAGACACAAAAACCTGGTTTACTTAACACACGCGAGGAAGTAAATATTAGCGAGAGTCAGCACTCGTTAATATTTATCCCTGATAGCGGTCTTCCGAAGCCGGTTTTCGTGGCTAGACACGGCCAGCCAATGTTGCGTTATAAAATGACGCGATAATTATGACTGCCAGCAACAGATATCTCTCCCGACTGAACCTGTCAGCAGGTTCGCATTACCTGAACGATCGCGCCTTTATTTTTCCGCGAGTTCTGTTATTTATTCCTCGCGTTATCCCTCTCCCCCCGCGGTCGACGCAAACAATAAGGAGCGAGTTGCGCCGCGACTTTCTGGGCCAATGTTACGGTCATAGCACAAGAAATACGCAGGTGCTCGGTCGCGCACCACAATGTAGACAAATATCTTGTTCTTTAGCGCGCTTGTGGTCGCAAGAGCGACCCAAGCGAGATGTGAGATACGATATGTGAGTGCCGGTGTTTCTTCGAATTCACCGCAACGGCTATCAACGGAATCCACAGTGGCGATCAACAAGGTTACGCTGCTTCAAATATAAATATATAATTCATAACTATTTCATTCTTGTTTACATGCACTAAGAAAGAAAATATTTGAAATTTCTAACTGTAATCACATAGAGAACTGATTATTATAAATTATGGCTAAAAAACCTACAATGTTTTTTTATTAAATTCTACTAAGTTAATGATAATAATCATATATGCATATTACTGCTATCGTTTTCATATTAGAATAAACAAAAAGTATAATTAATAATCTTAGATCAACCATGTTTTTCTCGCAATGTATTTTGGCTCTTATTCTCAACTCACTTTTATCAATAAAAGCGCTTGTAAATGTTTACAGACCAATTAAAAAATTAAATACACTTAAAACTGATTTTTCAATAGCTGTTTAAACTTAGATTTAAGTTTAAACTCTATGCTAATGATGCGTTTGATGTCTTTAGACAGAACTTAAAATTAAATCTCAGTTGAAATTACTATTAAAAATCGACTCTTAAAGATATTTTCACCAATAAAATAAAGCTCAGAATAAAGGTTTTCGTTATATCCGTTAATATTAAACATCATTGACTGCGTTCAAGACAAGAAATAGCTTTGCACTACGCTGTCAGCAGTTTTGTAACTGTCGCAACATTTTCTGCGATATTAGCTGTTTATGCATTTTCAACAAATTTATGCTTCTCCAATAAGTATACTAAGTCGTCATTTCTTGCGATATATTTTTAGTACACTGAACTTGGTAAATATGTTGGAAAAGTGTGAGCTGTTAATGTTGTTTAGCAGAAAATCTTATAACAGTTGAAAGGTTACTGACAGTACAGCGCAAGATTGCTTTTTCTACTGAATTTAGAGAATTTTATAATAAAAATTGCTATAGAATTTTGTGGTCGAGGAATAGACCAACCTCCTGCAGTAAGTCTCTCCTTTCATATTTCATATATGCTATTTATATTTTAATAATTAAAATATAAAGAAAGGTTGAATGAAAAGAAATGTTTAATGCTTGAATGTTGAAAAAATAAAAAAAAAAATAGCAGATGATGGTCGTAGATAACATGCAGATGACTCTTGGCACTTGAAAAAAATAAAAAATTTAATAGCCATAGTAATGTAATAGTGATTGAGAGTTTCTAAACATATGTTTCGGGTCAGTAAAATATACCACACATGTGCACATCAAACGTCAAATTTGCAACTTCACCGATATTCTACTGAAGGAACACGGAACCATAATATTTGCATCAGATAAATCGGCTCTTGATACTCGCGAAGCATGCCTCAGCCATGCTGTTTATCACGTTCTGCACGGACGTGTCGATACTAAGTGCTGGAATGAAGACGTAACGAAGAATAATTAGCGCCAACCCACAAGGAACGTGCCGAATAATCGCGACCCAACCAAGTTCAAGACAGATGAGCGACAAGACACGCGCTACGCTGAAGGTCGCGATTGCGTCTCGTCGCGCTTTTGCTATTACGCTAAAATTTCACTGACTCAATGCTTGACGTAAACATACACCGTAATTTCGGATATACTATATACAGAGAGAATTTCACAGTAAAAATTACTACAGAACTTTGTATCCCAAGGAATAGATCAATAATCTGCAGGAATTCATCATCCTTTTATTTCGTATGTGCTATTTATATTTTAAAAACTGAAATGTGCTATCAAAAAATTTGATATAATTGCTAAAATTTGTTGACAGTCTATCCCTGCACTACTGAAAATATAATAAAATTGAAAAGAATTTATATGAAGAAAAGAATTACAACATTCTTCATGTATACGATGGTCGGAGGAAATTTTCTGATAAAAATTATTATAGAATTCCGTAAGTATTATAGAATTTCCGTGGGAAACATATAATCGACATTCTGCTTTAATTATCATGTCTTATATTTATATATTGTATACGGAGAGAATCTTCTTCTACTTCTATATTTATAACTTAGAATTTTTACTCCTTTGACTAATTTTACTAAATGTAAATATAAATGTAAATGTTATTCGCAGTCAGATATTCATTTTTTTAATGATTCTAAAAGTAAATATGTTTATGTATTTGTGTAAATATGTATATGTGTTATAAGAAAAGGTAAAATGACTACGATGTCTCAGATAGGACTGATGTTTGCATGAAAAGGATGACTTTCAGGCGATCTAAGGAGAGAATATTTTAATTTTTGTTTTTCCTATAAATTTTTTTAATTGTGTTATGTTCCCAGTTTTGCGGGAATAGAACCAGTAAGGAACATGGCAAATCTTTTAATAACACATTTCGGTTTCTAAAATATAGATAGCATATATAAAATAAAAAGACAAATACCAAATCAATGCAGATTGCGCTATCCATTCATTGGCTAAAAAATTCTATAATTCTTTCTATAAAATTTTCTCTCCATGTAGGAAGATAATCTACTTAATTAATCTACTTAAAATTTATTACGTTCTCTAGCAAGGTACACTCGACTGACAACTTATTCTTTTACTAGTATAAAACATAAAAGAATTGCAAAAATGTCATATAAAACGAGGCCATAATTTCTCTCTATATATAACTCGTATATGTAAATCTCGTATGACGAGAAGTATAATTAAAATACCATATATAAATCTCGTATGACGAGAAGTTCAATTAAAACACTTCACGATACAAAAACGTCTCTACATTATTACACATTGCGCACAATAAACTACGCGCACGTTCACGACAGGCTTAAATTAGAATATCATTACATCGGTAAGGCACAACTAATCGAGATCGATATAATTAGTGCAGATGTGGAGAAACAAAGATTCAAATCGGAGTTCCGTTATGAAATACGACACCCGAGCGAAATTTACCGGAGGTAAAAAGTACGTTTTCGGTATAATATAACAATAATAATGCTAATAATAATAATAATATATATGTAATGATGTATATGTGTAACATAGAAGAAGAAGTATAGTGATTGGCAGGGATATAATGATTAGTATAGTACATTAACATTTAAACAGACCAGCTGCTGTCATTAAATATGCAATTGTTGATAATAAAGAATAAAATGATCTATCAAAGAACAATTAGTAAAATTGCAGTGTTGATTAATTCACTAGATAGTAATCAGAGGCCGCCAATATACTGATTAAAGATGTGCGAATCAAAGACTTTTTATGTCGAATCGAATCGAATCGTTAAAAGAACTTTTAATTAACATAATCATTGAATTCAACATGAAAATAGTGACTTCAGTAACTAACAGAGAGAGATAACATTGATCATGTGATAATAATTCATTTTAAGATAAGAAATATATAATATATAGTCGGTAAACATGTATGGAATACAGTTCCAGCCTTGAAAGCTGCGCAACGACACATATCGACCCGACAGTTGTTGATAAGAGTTTATCTAGAAACTATTATTTTCTTTGAATATTTTTGAAAAAATTCTTAATATATAGCAAACTTTTCAAGTCGTGCTAATTCTCATATCTGGATATCTTAGAATAATTCTTCGTTAATGCTAATGTGCGCGATCCGTATTCGAATCTTTTCGATTCGAAATTTTCAAATTATTCGGATTCGAATCATAGGGATTCGAATTTGAATCGAATCGAATTTCACTTGATTGGAATTCGAATAGTTCGCATATCTCTAATACTGATGTGTGTAGACACATTTATCTAATAAATCGTTTAGCAGCGCAGATTAAGCGCATAGTTTCGGTCATTAACTAGCTCTAAATTGTGACATATTTATTTGATATACCTCTAATAAATGCCAATCGCTGCTGATCACTGTGACAATGCCAATCATTGTGACAAGAGTGTCAATGATTATAATTTTCGTTATTTCAATTTGTTATTTATTTTGAGCAAGATATTTTACTTTTCCCCAATATAACTATACACTCTTGTAGCCTAGAATCTTGCCTAATCTTTGTGCAAAAAGAACGAGTTCTACAAGTCAGTTTTGTATCAAGAGATGATTTAAAATAGAAATGTACCCTAAATATTTATATAACTATTAAACCTAATTAACCTAAACTATACTTCTTCTTCTATATACGATATTCTCGAGAACGTGAGTCATCGAGGACAAAATCACCTTGTGCGAGATATAATCATTCATGATCGATCAATAATTGTATCTCAACATCGCGCTCAGTCCATCGCTTCGTGTATTTATCATTACTCTATAAATTGTAAAGAAATGCGTCATCGCGAAATTGCCGTCGTCATCATCATCGGTTCAAAGACACCGTTGACCTTCCGGAGAGTTGCTTAATCTTTTAAATGCTATGGAAGCGCGTATACTTCCGGCAAATGTTATTGATGCGGACTTTATAGCCGCGTATTTCTTCAGTTTATACTTTTAGCACGAGTTACAGTTATGATTGACTAAGTTTTATAGTAAAGTAAATACACAGTTTTATAGCAGTGTTAAAGACTAAGGATTAAGTTTTGTAGTAGTATAAGAACAGATTAATTTTAATGATTGACTTGTCAATTATTTTAATCAAGGAAAACTTTAATCAAGTAATGTTCAACACTTATCAACTGTTGCAATAAGAACTAAAATGCATGATCTTTCGTGTATTTCAAGGACGGTAATATCGGGTTGGCGTAAAAGATTTATCATGTTTATATCAAATAAAATAGAAGAAATTATCCAATATCGCACGAAGATTCACAAATTTTATAGGAAATAATTTTATAATTATCCAAAAATAATTTTATCATCTTTATATGAATAAAATAGGCGACACTAACTTGTGTAGGATATATTTTTTTAGACATCTAAGGAAAAAACTTTCTATTTCCCTTTTAATAGAAACATGTCTAATTTTTTGCATTAACCTAATAAATAAAATTTCTTTTGCCTCAACCTGTTGCTTTCCATTTTCTAACAAATGATCTAACGAGGACTTCCTATTTTTCTTTTAATGTCCAGACTTCTCACGAGAATTTAGTAGAAAAAAATGACAACTTTTTGCATCAACCTAATGAGTAAAATTTCCTTTGCCTCGAATCGTTGCTTGCAATTTTCCAACAAGTGGTCTCTCCCACCGATTGACTTACGACAGCCCAAAGTGCTCCGTCTTCAGCGATCGTTCGTTTTTGAAGGGCTTCACATTCGAAGGGTTAATCCGTCACTCGATGCCACGAGATGAACAGACGATCGAACGAGAGACGGTCCTTGGGACCGGAGCGAGACGTGCTGCGCGAACTCGCGGAGTGCGGAATCGAGCGCGTTCTCCAAAACTTCATGAAGACCAGGCACTGCCACGGAGGTTCCTCCGATTCCGCTCGAAGTGGAAGATCCTCCACGAGGAAGATTCTACCGGTTGTCACTCGTTTTCTTTCACCTGTTCCGCGTACTTGGGGCGAACGTAGACAACGGAAGCGACGGTACCGGGCTCGCTGGAGAGCGCGTCGGCGACGCGTCCGAAGCGCGGCTATCGTGCACCGTAAGGGGAACACGGCGAATGGTCAAGCGCCGATTCGTGGCAACCGGCGATCGCCTCAGGTTGCCTGGAAGGCCCTCAGGAACGCGAAGATGTGTCAGTGTGTGAAGTGAAAGAGAGGCGCTGCGCGCGCCTCCGCTCGCCCGTCCTCGTTTGCTTTTCGGTCGGCCGGTCGGTTTGCTCCGTTCTTCTCCGAGAGCCGGATTCAAGCATGTGGATTCCCCACCTATGAGTCCGCGCTCATTCGTTCCCCGCACGGCATTCGAAGGATCCAAAGACCGATGTAAAATCGCGCAACATCCGCGTAATTGATCGGCTCGAGCAGCGCCGACTAGCCGTCCCGAGCATCATCGAAGAAGCGCGTTACCGACCGCCAGTTTTTGTGATCCTAACGCAACGCACAGTGGTTCGAAAAGCGGAAATTGCGAAAAAGAAGAGACTTTGTTCGAAACCTTGGAAATACTTATTTTATAGTCTTGTACTGATAAGCTGTCAATTGAATCACATGCTCTTTTTCAGAAAATAAGACATACTGGGTCTAGTTATCGCACTTTTTACATACTGATTAAAAAAAGATGCATACAATATTTTTTAATACTGTGTACATTTTCATGTAGATATAACAAGATTCAAGTGAAAGGGAAAAATATTATCTTTATATATATTTAATTTATCTATTTATCTATTTATTTATTTATTTATTTATTTATATTTATTTTATTTATTTATTTAATATATACAAAAAAGTTATTAAGTTGTAAGCGAAGTCGTGCAAATGTGATTATCTATCCTATACTAATTGGTTGTCGTATGTCTTTCATGTAAAGAAAATAAGACATATAATTTCTATTTTAAGGTTTCAAGTATTTCATTAAAGTTAATGATATCTTATGATAAGAAACAATAAGCAATCATTGAACTAAAAGTCAGTTGCAAAATTATAGTCGTGCTTTGTTTTTATAAATATATGGAAAGAATTTAATAATGAATTTATAGTGAAAATTACTACAGAATTTTATAATGGAGAAATAGAACGGTATTTTCTGCAGTAATTTATAATCTTTTCGTTTCATACGTGTAACTTATGTATTTTAGGAATTGGAATTATAAAATTTGCTATGTATTAGAAACGAGATATAGTAAAACATAAGAATTCCAGTAAAATTGACCACAATTAAAATGCAATAATCCTCACAAACTTTGTAATAATAACTTGAAGCTCTCTTCTCTCTCTTCTCTCTAAGACCTTTCGCAGACTCACTGTTGTGACACATATAACATAATACATCATCGCATATGCTTTCATACTCTTACGTAAGTCACATCATAGCTACGTGACGATCTCGCAACGCATGACAACTAATTCCACTTAATTTGAATCAACTTAATCCAAACAATCATTTGGAGTAAAAGACTATACGTTTAAGTTATACTACAATAATTGTTAACTAAATGCAAAAAAATTAGACAAGAAAAGAGACAAGAAAAAATTTATCTACCGCGATTATTTTTCAATTTTGAAAAAATATTTGTAAATACCACATGCGATGTTTCATAAGCGATTTTGTACATCTAACTAATATACAAGCAATCTATACTATAAAGAAAAATATATTTATGATGCTAAAAAAGATCTAAAGGACCATCTCTAAGATTTTTTCTAAAACCGGAACGTTTATGTTTCCTGAACAAAAAAAATTTGAGAGATTTTTATTAAAAGTTAATTTCCACGCAACTTTTTATTTGTTTACCTCTTGGCTCATTTATTTTATAATTGTATATCAAAGAGACATAATTAATCATTGGAGAATATTATAATTTTTTTTTATACAAATTTTTTTAATTTTACTATGCTTTTAGTAATGCAGGGATAGACTGTCAGTAAAGTTTATCTCTCGTGGTCAATTTTACTGGAATTTTTGTTTCACTATATCTCGTTTCTAGCAACATAGCAAATTTTATAATTCTAATTCCTAAAATACATAAGTTACACATATGAAATGAAAAGATAATGAATTACTGCAGAAAATGCCGTTCTATTTCTATTCCATTATAAAATTCTGTAGTAATTTTCATTATAAATTCATTATTAAATTCTCTCCATATATTTATAAAGGCAGAGCACGACGACAATTTTGCAACTGACTTGCAGGCCTCCTTGACCAACGAAATAATTCAGTTTTCTGATTTCGCGAATTTCTTTAAGAACATATCATGATCGCTTTATGAATAGACATGAGATCTATACACTGTTCATGATCTGCTTCTAAAGAAATTCGCAAGATCAGAGAGTTTATAATTATTCTAACACAATCAAGGTAGTCGTAATCGTCGTCGTGTCTTCTGGTCAATTTCTTCATAAATATGTACACTATTCTTAACAAATACTATGAAATTTATATATCTTATTTACATAGTTTCAGCGTCCAATAAAGCATATAACATTACTATTCCTCCTATTTAAATAAAAAGTTTAAACAGTAAAATTAAATTATCGTTGTTGTTGTTATTGTCTTGATGTTGCTGCTGCTATTATTATTGTTATTATAATCATTATCACATTTAAAATAGCCGTACTATCTCACACAGAATGTAAATTGCGATTTCCGTTGCGTCATTCGCAATCATCCGCGAAGACTTTCGCCTTTCTCACATGAGACGCATGAATCTTCACTTTAGAAAAAGAAGATCATGCACGAATACATAGTCGTATATAACGTAACTTTCGTTATATAACTCTCTTTAAAATTTATTAATAAAAATTATTATTCTTACATTTATATTGATTCATTTACACTAACTTTGATTTATTATTTTATTTAATTATATTTCATTAAATCTATGTAAGGCGCTTCGCACGGATTGAAAAAGAAATATTTAAAAATTAATAAATGTTTATTTAATGGGTTACTAAACAACATATTTACTTAAATCTAAATTCTTATATTTAAGTAAAATAAATAAGTACTTTTTTCAATCGTGCGCGATAAACGCGAGCGTTAATCGTCGCAGCGCCAAGTGAAATTAATCGCCGGACTCAACTGAAGCGATAAATGCTAATTCCTTACACAATAAATTTAAATTTTAATATATGAATGTAAGTTATCTTTCTCATAAATTTGAAAAGTAAGTTTTGAGACGCAAATGTGATTGAAACGTTCTTGAATATATTTGATTTAGTCCGAAAATCAAGACTCGAAGACACTTATACAAATAACAATATTTTTCACGCGATTTTTCACTCAATTTACTATGAGACTAAGGAAAGTTTATTTATTTACAATAAAGAATATTAACACGAAATCTTGAAATGCTCAAAAATTTACTTGGTAGTTCAGAAATAAGACTTCCCTCTTTATAATATTTTCCTGATTTTAATGAAATAAAAAACGTAACCATGTTCCAAAAACTAATATTTTGCGACTATTTTTTTTTAAACTAAGATCTTAAAGTTTTAAGAAAACACGTATATTTTATTATTTAAAACATATTTTAGTATTAGTTATTAGTATATGTATTATACGTATAAGTATATAGTATATAGTATAAGTATATAGTATAAGTATTATAAATAAATATAAATATTAGTATAAGTAAATATATGCTGTTAATATCTATCACAAAAATATTTACTTTTTGATATTTTTTTCTGTCAGTGTGACAAAAGCGAGTCTATCATTCCTCATGTATAGTTTCGTCTACATCGTGTAAGAAACATGCAATCATCGTTTCATTATTGTACAGAATTATCATACAACATTCATAAAAATCCCGTATCTGCGCAGAGTCAGATTGTCTAGAACTTCGTAAGCGCGTAAGTGTGAATTAAAGCAATCAACTGTAAGCAATTGACTTTAAACGATTTCTCGATGTCGAAATTCTGACCTAATATCTGTTTGTTGCTAACAGCAATCTCTTTTGATTCTATTTAACCTACTAACCTATTAACTTTGCCGAAAGATCTTTTTAAAATATATAAGTGTCATTTTGTGCGTCTTCTGCAATTTAAAGACATTAAGTAGTGTTAAAAGAAAAAAAAATACTAAGAAAATGTACTAAAAAAAATACTCAAAAATTTATTTGTGGGATAAGAGCTTATTTCATAGAACTGAATTTAATTTCACAGAAATAAACTTTATATCTCACAAATAAATTTTTAAGTATTCTTTTCTTAGTATAGTGAGATTTATATTTGGTAAGATTAAATTTTTTTTAAGTAAAAAGTATTTTGTACGTTTATAAAACATTATTAATCTAATTGCACCGCATGTTATTGCCATTTTACTAGTTATACTAGTATATAGTGTAAACTCGCGCAATATTAAGTTCTCAATATCAATTTTCGACGTTTTTGTCAGTCTTGTTATCCGGTCAAATACTGATATTTGATACGTTTCGATCATAAAATTGAGCTCAATCATTTACTTGAGCAAGTTGCAGATCGATGAAAATGCATGTTAGTATGCACAAAATTGAAGGTTTCAAAGGTTTGAAAGGAATGTGTGCCACCAACTGTGTTTACGCTCGACTAAGTCAATAAGCTTTGTCATAGGCCAATGATGTGTTGACGCTCAATCTCGAGCTTGAGAGTGAATGTAGAAGCTACGAAAGAGTCATTAATAAAATTGCTCATGATGCAAGCCGCGCAATCGTATCTCAAGAACCCCTCCGGCTTCGATGTTTGTGTGCAAAGTTACGCTGTTATGCAGCTGCTGTGTCGCAACGTTGCGTGCGCTTGAAGTCCAGACGGTTCTACAAGAGGAGCAGCTTAAGTAGCTGAGTAAATTAGGATGCTTCACGGTTATAGAACACAGATGTGGACTCGGGTTGTGAATTAATAAATCGTACGCGATAAACGCGAACGTTAATCGTCGCAGCATCAAGTAAAATTATTCGCCGGCTCAACTGAAATGCTAATTCCTTACAGATTAAATTTAAATTTGAATATACGAATATAAGTTATTTTTTTCATAAATTTGAAAAGCAAATTTTGAGATGCAGATGTGATTAAAACGTTCTTGAATACATTTGATTTAGTCCGAAAATCGAGATTCGAGAACACTTATACAAACAATAATCGGCGATTTTTCACTCAGTTTACTGTGAGACCAAGGAAAGTTTGTTCACTCACAATGAAGAATATTAACATGAAATCTTGGAATACTCAAAAATTTACTTGGCAGTTCAGAAATAAAACTTCCCTCTTTTTAGATTATATTTTCCTGATTTTAATGAAACAAAAAAACGTAATCATGTTCCAAAAAATAATATTTTGTGACTCTTTTTTCACTGTTTCTCTCATGTTAAATACTAATTTGGCGGATAAAAAGATTTGTCATATTTGTCAAATAACATACATAGAGAGGATATTATAATTTCCCTTTATTATATAAATTCTTTTCAATTTTACTATGTTTTTATGTAGAAATAGACTGTCAGCAAGATCTATTTTACTGAGAAACATAGCAAATTTTTAGAAAGAGAGTAGCACACTTCAGTTCCTAAAATATAAATACAACTTATGAGAAATGAAAAGATAATAAATTACTGCAAAATGTCGAATTATTTCTCAGTTATAAAATTCTACAACAATTTCTACTGCAAAGTTTTCTTCGTGTAGGAAACATCAAATCATCCAATTACGAGAAATCATCCAACTATAAGAAATTAATAATGCTTACAAATAAAATAAACAACATCGCCCCGGTATTTTTACACATCTTACAAGAGTAATAGTTCTTCTTTTTCTTTTTCCTCAAAATACCTGAAAATCTTACGAGAATTGAACAGAAAAATGACAAATCTTGTACCACCAACTTAATACATAAACGAAGACCTACAATGATGGACTGACTTGCTTCTGTCGCAGTCTTCTCTATATCTCGAGTAATCGGTCAATGCACCGAAATTAACAGCATAAATTAAATCTATCAGCGCACGAGAAGCAAAGGGAATGAGAGTAAAACCCGATAGGTACGGATCATAGCCCAAGGTGAGCAAGTAAAAAATAGCTGGTGCAACCATAAGATCCTCAAGTACACGACAGAGAAAGTGGCTCGGGACCTCTCGTTGGCCTTACGTACAATCGCGCGAGCCAAATGACGCTTAGTCTTGCGTCGGCCTTCGCTCTCCGAGCATCTCCCCGAGCACCGGCGCCGAGGAATTCGCGTGTGAGCGCGGACAGTCGCCCGAAGTCGTTGGAGGGCACGTGCAGAGACGAACGTATACACGTGTGCGTGCGAACGTGTGTGCGTGCACCGAAATATCTGGCACGATTGCTTAAGTAGACTTTCACGCGCGGAAACTCAAACACGCCACCGGCAAACGACGTCTCGAGTAGCCCCAGTACGTGGCCCTTGAAGTTCGAAGTTTGGCGCTTGACTCTTCATCGCACCGAGCTCTCGTTCCATTTCTGTAAAATCGTGCGATTTCGGCGAATAACTTCGTACCTCTCTATGTGAACGCCAGTCAGCAATTTGGCGCGTTTCACACGTGATTGGTCTACGACGTACATACGTCGATCATCGCTATTTATGCATCGCGTTTGAGACCGTACGTATGAGAGCAATCATTAAGATGCGTCTTATGCGCGGAATAATATAGCGATTATTCAGTTTATTTTTCTTCTTTTAAGTAATGGATATCTTCAAAAATATTTTCCTGTTAAAATAATCTTAAGTAATTAAAATAATATTGTATAAAATAATCTGACATTGATAAGCAAATATCTGAGATTACGGAATTAATTTATAACATATTAAGTTTCTGTGAAATAAAGTTTACTTTTGTGGATAAATTTTCTACAAATATATAAATATTTAAGTGTTCTTTTCTAACAAGGGATTCCGAAAATTCAAATGCTTATGAAATTTGGTATAAGTATAATTTGGGTAAACAAGTGAATTTAGAAATTTTCTGTTGGAGCGGAGAAACCATTTAAAAGGGTAAAACCATCTTTCAAAGATACAGAAGCTTTCGCTTTTTTTCAATATATCTAGTAAATTCTTTCAAAATGAAATATTAAAAAATGTTATACAAAAATTTTATAGAAAAAAATTTATATTATTATAAATTCATAGATGCTCTCTCTTTCATACAGAAAGTACAAACGATGAAGTTTCAAAAATAATCTTTTTCCGAATAATGTATGGCATAGTTCAATAGAGATATTTTTTCTATAAGCTCTTGTATAAAACATTCCCCGACATTTCATTTAGTTTATGAGATATATTGAGAAAAGCGAAGACCTTTGTATTTTTAAAGAATAATTTCATCCCATCAAAGTGTTTTTCCGTTTCATCTGAAAATTTTTAAATTCATCTATTTATCCAATCGACATTTTAATTAGAGCCAAGTTTCATTAAAGTTTCATTAAAGTCTGAATTTTCGGGTTTACAAGGTTTCTTTGTAAGGATAAAATATATTCATACACACACGCATTACTAATTTTAGAAAAGCTTATACATATTATTATATACTCAAAAGAAGAATTAATTCTCTCTTTATAACTTTATCGAAAGAAAAATTCAGTCTATCGAGGAAAAATGAAATGCTAAATTTATTAGAATTCAGAATGTATTTTGAATAAATTGAATGCTTATGATGTATTTATGATATATTTACTATCACATAATACATAAACTTATGGAATATTTAAAACAAGTAATATTTATTTGAATGCCGTATGTATTTTTCTGTGTATGACAACTTAAAACGTCTAAAACGAGTAAGATATTTTTCAGACGTCTCTAAGATGTCTATTAGACATTTTTACTGTATAGATTAATCTGTACAATATTAATCTGTATGAGGCTCGATTGCACCAACGTTATTTTGATTTTAAAAGCGAGACTTAAATATATGTCTGTCTTTATTTATTTAGAAAAAAATATAAAGATATACATGTTTAAGTTAAAGTCACAATAATGTTGGTGCAACCGGGTCTTAATTTATTTAAAATGATGAATTCAAAATAATAACATTATATGAAGTTTAATCTGAATTGCAATCTAGATTAATGTGAATCAATAAGATAATTTATTTACATTAAAATCCAGATTAAATATAATGTAATCTTATCATTTAAAGGGTAGCGATCGATAGTTTTTTTAAGGATCAATTACAGGATATTGCGGATTGAGAAGGGAAAAAACGAGAAAAAGAACTGTTCAATAACCGGAAATAGTTAACGGACGTGCTCGTTCACTCGTGAGTCTTTTAACTCGTCGCGCTGATATATTTTTTACAGTAACTCTCTGTGAATAGCCTTATTATAGTGTGAATAGCTTCGTCATGCAATATAATTGTTATTATCGTTATGTAAGACTCGACTTTGACACTAAATCTACATTAATTTATATTGAAATCGCACTAAATTTAGCTGACCTTTTGTGAAAAGCTTATCGCCACCTGGTATTATTGTTATTAACGCGTTTTTTATTCAGCATTCTAGGAAATACATTATTACTTATATTGGCAAAAACTACAATATTAATTATATTGACTATTAAAGCCGTTCTATCTATTTGTGTATACTAATTTACATTGAATGCGTGAATATTAAATTCTTATTTCTTACTAGATGTTTTGCAAAATTTATGATTATCTAATACGACAGTATACTGAGAAAAATATCCAATTATATCTATCGGAGTATCCAACGCAAAAGTAACAAACGGATATATCCGACCAAATTATATATCCGATACAAAAAGTAATTGGACATATCCAAACAAATATCTGACTCATAAATATTCGTGTAACTACGATTATCTTGATTAACCCGGATATAGATAAGCTATAGGTTATAGGTTATCCGAATATAGATTAGCCTAATCTACAAACAGACGACAAGAGACAAGACACATTATCGTTATTAACCGGTTCTCTGATGAACTCGAAACCAACGTTTTGTGCCAAAATTGGTGAGAACAAAAAATTCCGCATTTTACATGAAAGCTTATCTAATGAGGGGTTTTTTAGGTAACTGATTACGAATTCGAGGTCAAATTTGTCCTGTTACTGGTACTTTTATCCTATGCACCCAAAACTAATATCCTTTATATCGTTTATTATATTTCCAGGGTCAAATTTTCTCTAAAGTCAATTCTGAATATATTTTTACATTGTTTCATTTTATAATTTATAATATAAAATTCATAATATTTCACTAGCTAATAACCCATACAGCACAAAATCTCTTGGGAACGTCCCACAGATTTCCTGAAGACGTAGAAACGTCCCCAGGACGTTCTCAGGACGTACTCTAGACGTCAATTTGTGCTGTTAGGAAACGGAGTATCCATGGAATCATACCAAGTTTGTTCTGTATCTGTAATGGAATATCAAAGTTAGTCACTTAAAGCCACTATATTGGATCCGCCATTTTAAATTTCTCAAATTTGATCTCAAATTCTTAATCAGCGATCCAAAAAACATAAGGGTAGCAAGTTTCATGTAAATCCATTTAAAACTGGCGGAGATATATAGCGAACACATATATGTGTGCTTATTAGTTGTGGCACTTTTTTCTCCTACACATATATGTGTGATTACCAGTGAACCAGTTAAAACCTACCATACTACGCCTATCATACTAACCTACCATACTGCACTTCAATCTTCCTTAATTTTCTTTAATTATCTTGATAGTCGATAACACCTATATATATCATGAATGACTTCATCATGAAAGATGGTGTTATAAATGGAATTATTAATGTAAAACTATAAAAGCAATTTTTCTGAGTTAAATGTCTACTTTATCTCAATATCTTTATATAATATATTTACTAAAAAAAAATATTTAAATATTTACAAAAAAATATTTTAAAAACTTATAAAATTATAACTTATAATTATACCTTATTAATGTATTTTATTGAAATCTAGTGTATATATTTAAATCATTATTTTCAATGAATTTTGAGAGATTTACTGTCCGAGCTTAAATGTTATATATTTTGCTCTTGCATAAATTGTTTCGACAACAATAATGCTTATATATATTTTTGTAATATTTTTGTATATATTTTTGTAAAATTATAACTTATAATTATACTTTATTAATGTATTTTATTGAAATCGAGTGTTTATATTTAAATCATTATTTTCATTGAATTTTGAGAGATTTACTGTCCGAGCTTAAATGTTATATATTTTGCTCTTGCATAAATTGTTTCGACAACAATAATGCTTATATATATTTTTGTAATATTTACATATTTTAGTTTGCCACTTTAAATCCATCATTTTCAGTTTGATTATTTACAGATCAGATTCACAGTCAATGTCCTTTTAAAAAAATTTATACGAATTAAGATTTAGTAAAAGAAATAAAAATTATTTTTTTTCTTTCATATTTTCATCCTATTATCCGCTATATTGGATCAGCTATTTTGAATTTATCGATTTTAACAGTAATTTCTTATTCAGCGAAAACCTCTTGAACATATATATTCGTCACAATCAACTTACTGGTTAATGCTGAGTCTACTTGTGCAATTTAGATGTTAATAAGTGAAAGGTTAAGAACTCAAAATTTCACGTGGTTGTTTGTGAAATGATAAAGGAAACCCGTACTAAATTTGATAAATTTTATCTCCATACAACGGATGTTATAATTATGCTAATAATTATCATTATATATCTATTCATTTTTACAAAAATCTATTCATTTTTAAAAATCTACATCAATATACGCTCAAATTGAATCACATTAAACCTGCAGCTAATTGTTTACAAAATTCACTATCGATCGATATATCGACGAACATGTATCGGACAATATTTAAACTCACTTTTGACTGTTGATTTTCTGTCCATCCGTTTCTACAATCATCTGACATGATAATTAATTGAGCAATATAAGAAAATAAGCATTATTTGTCTCGGGTACGAGGGACGTTACAATAATAAAGAAAAAATATGAAATAAAAACGCAGAGATCGTTTTTCATAATAATTACATTCCAATGTTGTCTCTCGAATTGAAGGTGATCGTGACAAGATTGCAAGAAACATAGCAAGATGTGGCTACTAATAGTATTTTGGGTACTGGTCAGTCTGATCGCTTTATGGATTCTCTCGGAGCCTATAGGTATTATTCTGGGCATCTTGTGGGAAGTTTTCACGCCGATATTCGACAGGAAGCAGATCGACTTTCGGACAACGTTCGGCGAATGGGCGAGTAAGATCTTTGTCATTATTTCAGTGTTTCCTTCTTTTCCCTTTTTGTTCCTTTTTGTTTTCTTATCGTTTATGGACTGTTGATAAAGCTCAATATTTGAGCTCCTTTTGGTCAATAATACTAACGCTGACAACGCTCTCTTAAATCATTATTTTTGCGATATCTCGTAGTATAAATAAATGTTGAAATGTGCTGAAATGTTGTAAACATTTCAGTTGTCACTGGCTCGACCGACGGCATCGGGAAAGCTTATGCAATAGAATTAGCAAGGAGAGACTTGAACTTGATTCTAATCAGCAGAAATATGGAGAAGCTCGAAAATACGAAGCGTGAAATTCTGGAGATAAATCCGCAAATCGAAGTGAAAATTATAGTGGCGGATTTCAGCGAAGGAAAAAATATCTACAATAAAATTAAACTTCAACTGCAAGACATACCCATCGGTATATTAGGTAATCAAACATTTGAGTCTGATTCTTTTCTTATATATTTTTTTTTTCTATAAATATTATTCTATAGAATCGTGAAAATTATTAGAGTAATATTTATTTCTTTTTTAATTTTCTTCAATTGTTCTTTTCAATAAATACCTAATTTTAGGAAATATTACAATTTGTTCTCGATATTCTTTAGAGATTTAAAATGATTACAAGTTTGTATTACATATCATACGACTAAATCATATAAATAATGACGGATTACTTGACAAAAATAAACTTTATTCCAAATATAAACTTTGCAATATTTTTACTCAATGTGTATAAGTAACCTGCTATTTCCTATATAAAAAAATTTACTTTACAAAATATATCTTACAAAATATATATATATATATATATATATATATATATATATATATATATATATAACTATACAAAATATATCTTACAACAGAACCTAATATAATATATGATATATCCGTCATTATATTTATACAATTTAGTTATCCAATATGTAATATAAATCTGTAATCATTTTAAACTTATAAGAAATTGATAATAATTGATAACTTATAAGATATTAATAATAAATTATATTTCCTGAAATTAGACATTTATTGAAAAGAGCGCAATTAGAAGAAATAAATAAAGAAATAACAATTATTCTAATAATTTTCATACCTCTGTACAATAATGCTACAAGTCATACAACTCTTGAAGTAAAATATTTTCTTATTTAAAGAAAACTTTTTCTCAGTATAAAAATATGTATGTTAATAATAAGCAAATACATTATTAGGAGACCCACCCGTTATTAGGATTCAATAAATATTCTTTATCTTTTACATATTTCTTCTCTCACAGTTTATTCAGCTTCAGTTTGTCCTTTTCGCGATACACTACCAAATCTCAACAAAATTTTATTTGAAATCCCTGAGATCTTTCTCTCTCTCTCTTTGTCTCTCTCTCTCTCTCTCTCTCTCTCTCTCTCTCTCTCTCTCTCTCTCTCTCTGCTCGAATTTTTCGGTCGCTCGAAAATTCTCAGCGCCAATTTGAATTATCTTTCTCTTGTTTCAAGTGAACAACGTAGGCAAAATGTACGATTATCCTATGTATCTCGGAGAAGTGCCAGAGCAAGATTTGTGGGACATCATCAACATTAATGTAGGTGCGACTACGTTAATGACACGACTGGTTATCGGCCAAATGCAACAACGCGGACGAGGCGCGATTGTCAACATCTCTTCAGCGTCGTGCTTGTTGCCACTGCCGTTATTCACGGTGTACGCTGCCACGAAGATATACATGAAGAACTTCTCCGAGGCGGTCAGGATGGAGTACTCCCGATTCGGTATAACCGTGCAACATCTCTACCCGCTTTTCGTCACCACCAAAATGAACAATTACAGTCACAGATTCAAGGTACGCGTAACCATTATTTCTCTCCTCCTATTTCGAATTCTCATGCGTTGCGAAACAAATAATATAGAAAATAATAAAGGTTGAGATTGAAACATTAATTAAAATTAAAAGCTTCAATCTTTATTTCAATCGATACCTTATAATTGTATAAAACAATCAAAATAAAATGTTGTTCTCTACTCTATTAGCTCCATGGGCAATTAATTGCACATTAATCTTTTACGGAGCGTCTCGTGTGCAAGTAGAACTCATTAAATTTAACGGAAAATGTCCTGTACTATTTTACAAACAACTACAACAATTTTTGAAATGTTAAATAAGGAAAGTTAATAGAGATAATTTCCGTTGCCAAAAAAAAATATGTTGAATAAGATTTTTCTTAAAGAACTCATCCCACATCATCACGCGCATTCACACATTCGCTGATTTTCTTTTATTAATTAATATCTCTTAATATCTTTAAATTAATATACCTTAATTTTAAGTTAAAGATATTATCTATCTTTAAATTAATATCTCTTAATATAATTAATATTTTAATAAAATCTCTTATTATAATTTTAATTAATATTTCAATAATTATCGCAGTTTATATATGCAAAATAGTTCAGGACTTTTTTGTTCAGTTTCATGAATTCTTGAAACTTGTACATGAGCGAACGTACGCGTTGTGTTAGATATCTTATATATTTGTTTTGTTATCAAAATATAAATTGTCAACAGTTTTATCTAGTAGTTTATGATAATGAAAATTGATATTAATATATCTGTATTTCATCGAAAAACGCAGGCTAGCAGTTTTTTCGTACCTGACGCCACAACTTACGCGAGGAACGCTGTCGCCACTCTCGGAAAGATAAACAATAGTACCGGATATTGGGCTCATAGCATCCAGCAATTCTGTATTTTAGTACCTCCTGAGTGGATTAGAACGAAAGCTAGTGAATTAGTACCAAGCATCCTCAGACAAGATTATTTTAAGTTACAAAAAAAGGACAAGATTTAGCAGTATTATACAACTCACAACATTTACGAAAATGTATCACTTTTCGACCAATAATAAATTACTATTGCTAAGTAGTTTTATTACTAATGGTTGAGGACTTTGAGTACTTAAATTACGAGGTTGCTAGTGCTTCGGAGTAATTCAATGACTACGGCACACAGCGGCAGTGATAATTACTGATGTATTATTAAATATTTGTAATAAACGTTGATATAAACTATTCTCTAATAACGAGAAGTGTTAGCATAAATTCTTTTATAATTAGTATAAATTGTTTCATGTTTCTCAAACTAATTTATTATATTTGCTCTAATTTATTATAATATTTAGTTAAAAATCTACAGGCAATCACATAGTTAATGGTTCGCTGATATACAGGATGAGACAATAACTATTACCACCTTAAATATTTTTCAATCCATGTAGTTTAAAGGAAAATTTACACAAAACGGAAAAATCCAAGCTAACGTCATCAGAATTTAATTAAAAAATGATTTCCTTGAACACAATCTCTCAATGTGACTATAATTAAAAATATCACAAATTAATTTCGATTTGCGTCGCGCGTGTATCAAAGCGATACATAATTCGATCAGATCGTTGCTGAATCGTCGTTTACATACTCGTTTATCCGAAAGGACGACATTTTTTCGAAAACGCAATTCGCGATATTTCTTATGCGATTCGCAACTCGAAACTCGTAGTATATCCCTCAAGAGAGACGGGATTTATCGGAAAACTTCCGTTAGATTACCGCGGTCGGGAGTGTATGATAGGCGACGTGGGACGTGAGGACCATTGCAGCGCCAGATGCAGCGACGGGATGGCTGATGAACCCTGGATATCATGGGACAACGCGCAATGGTGAGCGTTTAATTTAGACGCTCATATAGTAGACACAAAGCGTCACTTTACGTAGTAAACTAAACAAAAAAATTCAAGTCTTATACATGCTTGAATGTTTTTGTTTAGTTTAAAAAGATGTGAATGGAGTATCCATTGATAAAAACTTATAATTTTTTTAATTGGATCATTCTTGCATAACAATAGCCAATTGAAATTTTGACTCGGCAAGTTTGCTTCTCGTCGGATTATTTCTTGATGATACATTAAACTAATATATTTTAACATGTCATATTTATATGCTCTCTATATGTTGTATATGATTGTTTTATACTATATATATATTTTATATATATCCTATATATGTTCTATATAAACTATGTGATTATTATACTTTATAATTTTTTATGTCCTAGATTGCATGCACGTAGACGTAAATCACATTAGATCCGACGTGAAGTAAAGTAAGAATTGGAATTTGCAATTCGCCGAAATTACGTAAGAATGATCCTACCAAGAATTTACCTTTGAGATTTTCGCAATAGTTCAACGAGTCAAGAATTTCCATTTCTTTAAGAGTACTGACTAGCTCAATCCTTAGAAAAATATGCAAAGAGACGCGACTAGTAAAAAATAAAAAACTGTTTTTTAATTCATTTTAAGCATGTATAAGCATGTTGAATTTTTTTTTGTTTAGTTTAAAAAGATATGAATGGAGTATCCATTGATAAAAACTTATAATTTTTTAAATTGGATCATTCTTGTATAACAATGGCCAATTGAAATTTCGACTCGGCAAGCTTGCTTCTCGTCGGATTATTTCTTGATGATACATTAAACTAATATATTTTAACATGTCATATTTATATGCTCTCTATATGTTATGATTGTTTTATGCTCTATATATATTTTATATATATCCTATATATGTTCTATATAAACTATATGATTATTATACTTTATAATTTTTTATGTCGTATACTATCTCTTCGGAGATATCTTCTTGTGCATACGCGTTTGTCGTTGACAAGACGACAAATTAAATATCAATGGGGGTGAAATCACTTCTGGGGAGAAGAAATAATTTACGACACGTGAATAAATCTAAACGTATATTAATCACGCCACTCAAACTACGAGTGGTAAAAAATGAATAGTTGAAAATGAAAGCTGTACATATGCAAAACGAAAATTCGTGTACGAAAATTCATTTCTACATGCAATTTTGCCTTTATTTTCGGAGATCTTTATTCTAAGCTCTCTTTTTTTTCGATAAAAACACCCGTGTGAAAGTAGCTCATAAGCCTTCTGATTGGCTACAAGTCACTTTTAAGGGACACTTTTATCAACAAAAGGAAGTTGAGAATAAGAGCCATTGCATTCGCGTTTCTGTCAATCGTTTCTCTGTTACTTATCTGTTTAACACCGAAAACCAAGAAATGATATTGTGTACATCGCATTTTTCGTGAGAGATCAACGCTCACTAGCATTGTTTTTATTGTATTCCGCGTTAGGAAACTCTAAGTGAAAAATTGAAACCTGAAAATTTTCCGACGATCGTGAAATTAATTTTGCGAGCATTTTATATAATCACGTTAGATCGTTTCGCACAGATGCCGCACGATATAGAATTTTATTTAATAACGAAGCACGAAACTCTACTTTATGAAATACAATCGCGATTCAAGCTCACGCGAGAAAGAAAATTGAGAAAATTAACGACCGGCGGAAGATCTATGACGCGGGCGATTGCGCATTTTTTATGGCGCAATCTCTGTGGCACAATCTCTTTGCACGTTGGCGCACTGCTCGAGACATCTGAAAGATCGCAATAAAACTAAATAATTTTACAAAATTTTGGGTGTTCAAAGCGTATACTTATAATATATTAATAAGAAGAATCTATTTAAAAATATTCGAAATTTATACACACAATCCATCAAAGAAACAGCAATCATATCGTACAAGAGCTTCAAATCTTTCATGTCAAGGACATCGAAGGAGAATATTTCCATCTGTTTAATTATGTCGACAATTTAAATTCTCATAAATAATTACATGAGAATTATAATAACCAACATAATCATCAGACAATATTCTGCATGGTATATAAGATTTAAAATTATTTAATGCATCATATTTAGGCTCTACATTTATAACTTCTATGTTTATTATGTTCGCTTCCGCTATAGTTGGTGACCCCGCAGTTAGAAAATATGGACATTTTATGCGCTGTGATGCCAATAGAATATTTTTCTATGTCCAAGTGAGTGCATTAAAATGGGCTTGAAACGCTACAATCACATTTGGAGGCTGAAACATCGGACTGGACATATACTGGTTATAAAATATAGAATAAGTTTCGAATCTAAACATCTGCTTGCGCCTAATGCAGTTCATACAAGTTGGAAAACTACAACCTTCGATTTCTAATCTTCTTTCTATTAGTACTATTTTTAAACGCTTGATGCGATGTAAAAGATGCAAGAGAATTTCCCAAGCATAAACATACTTTTTTTCAACGAAACCTATAGATATTATGTGTACAACGCATTCTTCTACGTTTAGAATATCTACATATAATAATTCGGCTTTCTTCATTCCATCTTACACGGTCGTGATGTGTAATCGGAATATATATATTCACCAGAAGTCCACGCTCGAATATTCCTATGATGATAGTCGTGTACATATCCCATAATAAAATTTTCCATGTCTTCAACAGGTCTCTCATCATCAGGAAATTCAAAGAATGTTCGAGCAAATTGAGAAAATTGCGATTTAAAATATTTGAGTTGAGATATAATTTGAATGCCTTGCATTTTGATGAGTGATGAGCTGAAAAGTATCGTACATGCTCAACACAATAATTTTCAATAAAGCACTTTTGGTCTACAAATTAATTTGTCTACAAATTAATTTGTCGATGGCACAAATAACACGATTTTGCGAAAATGATCATCTGGATTTCGTGCTAGATTATATGAGAACTCTTCAGTCATTTTGCGCAAAATTCATATCTTGACCAAATCCATTGACGCGTGGAAAAACCCACAGGGCGCCATGTCGTCCTTAACTACTATGTACGTTTTTAGGTAACTGCAGAACTTCTGGTATTGCAACTGATCCATTAATAAGTGTAAATCGGCAGTAACAAATCATGTAGCAGTTATTACATAATTTCAAATCACCATCATTCTTGCAAACGTGGCAAACGTTTGGATGAAAGATTATAAAAAATTAGAAACGTTATAATCAGTAGGATCGGGCGACCACAGACAATGTACCAACCCTTGCAAAAAATTCGTGAAAATGACTATAAGGATACATTTTGTTCCCTTGAAGATAACGAATACTTTATTGCAAATTCAATTTAGAAATTATGCGTACGTGAAATATGGTACATTAACAGAGAAATTAGATAGTTAGTTGTCTTAGCACAGTCTTCAGATATATGTATAACTGGTAATTGTTCCGAGGAAACTGGGAAGCTATTTACAAGTTATTTTCGATGTATAATTCGTATTATAATACATTGAAAAGGTATTTACAATATTTTCCTAAGTGCCATATTGTTGACAAATTGAATTATATTCAAAAATATACGAATATTCGTTATCAAATAATGTGTCACGCACAAACATATATATGGGGTTTTTTAACAATTTATTAAATTTTATGCTTTATTTCATATATATCACTTGACGAAGACTCAAAACATTTCGATACAAAATATGACGAACAAATTTTAAATGGTTTACGTCTCGGCTCATCACATGTATCACATATATCATTACCTGGCTGATTTATACTTTAAAGGTTTGCAGGAGCCGCAGACATATCCAGAGTTGATTTTGGAAGCCTCCTGTGCAAAAGTGTAAAATAACACCTCTGTATGTAAATGTATGTATATCGATACATACACCATACACAATCACTCGCGCGAACCATAAGCAGAAAAGTTATGTCAAGTTAGTTAGGTAAAGACCAACAATCGATTACCATCCTCGTCTCATTTGCCTATGTATTTCGTTGGTCATATCTCGGAGAGAAAAAACTTTCAAAACTCCAGGAAACATAGCGGAAAATATTTAATAATTTTTGCAAGTTAACGTATCCTGCTGCATAGACTTGTATATCACATGCTATTAATATATTTCATATATGATATATTTCATATATAATTTGATGATTTTATAACAAAAGTCATATATGATCTTTTTCCCAGCCCAGGAAAAATAACATATTCAAAGTAATATTTTATATACATAGACATCAAAACCTAGCATCTTTGGTATATATTATACATATTTCTGTCTACTTAAGCTTGCTTAATTTCAAGAAAATTCATAATTCGGGGACAAAAAACACATGGCGTT